GGAATTTTTGCCCTTTGTATCTCTTATTCTCTATGCATCATAGGCAAAAAGCATCCTCTTTAATGGTGTGTATTAGGTTTGATTCTAAAGTTGGGTCTTCTGGATACTTCATGTAGCACCAGTGCTGCTCTAGGGAGGATAATAGTACTTTGAGTACACAAGAACAAGGGGTCATCCAATAAAATTGAGAGGCAGCAGATGTGAAACAATAAGGAAGTTCTTGTTCCCACAACACACAGTTAACCATGCCTAATACTCAGAACTCCTGCCTCCCATTTTGCCTCTAACCACTAGACTACACTGCCTCCTTTGCTGACTAGTCAAAGGTACACACACAGTGGTGGGGAGGGAATTGGCACATTTATTTCCATTCTGGATAAACAAGCATTTTTATTAAATAAAATAAAATGGAACAACAGCAACAACAAAAAAAGGTGTCTATGTGGGTTTTAACCTTTGCCAGTGCAAATGAGTTTTATAAGTAAGATTAGAATTGTCTGACCATAAACATGTTACATTTGTGCTAGGTTGCTTCTCAGAAAGAAGTAATTGGGAATGGGAGGGGGACAGCCCGATTTTCCTATGTACACAATTTTCATTTGCAGAATTTGGTAAAATTTTCTGCAGATATAAGAGCACTCTTTTCCTATTACAGTTAAATTTGTCTGATTCAAGGCATCTAGATTTCTAGCCTTAACATAGCCAGTACTCTGACCTTTAAAATAGTAGTCTTATTGGGGCAGTGTTGTGAGCAAAAGGGTTTCTATTGAAACGAGGCATTGTACATCTCACTGTGGCTTTGGAAACTCTAATTATAATTAGAATTTTTACTTAATTTTAGGTATGCATGTTTTACAGAATGAAGCTAAATATGTTGCTTATCTGAAGGAGCCACAGTTGCTTTGACAACAGCTTTGTGAGAACATCAATTTCAGATTATCCATTTACTGAGGAATAACATAGTGAAGAAGGTTAGTGGGTGTAAACCTTAATATGAGATACATGTGTTGTGCAGTTTCACTATTGGACCACCTGGTAGAAATCTTCTATTATATTTGGTCTGTCAACTTTCTTAGACATTTTTAATACACACATTTGGCCTTATATGCAAGGTTTAACTGTATATAGAATACTTATATGGCTGAAAGATAGTGTTCTCATTCTGTAGGTAGTACATAATGGAGAATGCTCATATATACTCTTCGCTCTTCAGATACTGAAATATCATGCTAACCTGCCTGAGGCTGAGTATTCTATTAGATTTTACCTTCATTTATGTAATTCAATAAGACCTATCAAGGCATAACTCATTCTTCTAGCAATATTAGCCTGTTTTTACAATATATAAATGAGGATACTAATATGGCAACATGTTTTTATGAAATGTAATAATGGCTCTTAACCTAGCTGAACTAATGATCATGAGTATCAAATGTTAACATTTAACAATCATCATCTGAAATGATGAAACAAGCAGCTATAACTGAAATGTAGCTAAAGGATGCCTGTGGGCTACAGCTACTGTTGCTTTGTTTCCTTGCTCTTTGAAGTTTAAATATGTAGAAAATTTCTTGACTGTACAAACAGAAAATCTTGACTCTTTTAGTCTCCATAAAATGTCTATATATGAAAATCTTTATTTTAAAACATTGACACTCACTGTCTGATTTTATGGACCAGTAGTAACACTTTGTAATTATACAGTACAGAACTACCTACAGTTTTTTTCTTGTAGGGAAGAAATGTCTTAGGCCGAGCATATTTCCTTAAGAAGACTGCCTCTTTCTCGGTAAAGGAGGCTTGATTTCCAAATCAGATCAGGGTCTGGGTGCATAATTAAACATTATTTCATTTGTAGAGTGTAACCCTCTTGACATAGTAGCTTCTATTTCAAACAGTTAGTGGAGAGAGATCTTGTCTCCAAAATCTGTAGCTCACAACTAGATTCAGAATAGTAGGAGTGGGGAATATGGGCTTGTAGTTTGCAGAAGGGGTTCTCAGGCTTAAGCATGCCTATGAATATTTCCAGGATGTGGGCCATAGATTGCACAGTGATACATGTGTGTGTGCTTATGCCTGGCGAGGCAGGATGATCTTTCAGACTAAGATCATCCTATCTGGGTTGGAAGGAATTTCCCCCCAAGTCAGATTGGCAGAGACCCAGGGTTTTTTTGGCCTTCCTCTGCAGCATGGGGCACAGGTCACTTGCTGATTTGAGCTAGAGTAAATGGAAGATTTTCTCTAACTTGAAGTCTTTAAATCAAGAGTTGAGGACTTAAGTAACTCAGCCAGAGGTTGTGGGGCTTTTTGCAGGAGTGGGTGGGTGAGGTTCTGCGGCCTGCAATGCGCATGAGGTCACACTAGTTGATCATGATGGTCCCTTCTGGCCTTAAAGTCTGAATCTATAGTGAGGTTGAGAGTCAGGAGACCTGGGAGATGTCCCCTTGCTGTGTGACCTTAGCCAAGTCTGCCTTAATTTCCTCTAGTGTAGAAGGCTGCACGTGCTTACCTTGTGTAGATGTTGAGGCTTAATGTCTGTAACATGATTTGAGATCTTCAAATGGAAGGTACTAAGCACTAACTAGTGTGTACTAGAATTTTCAATGTTTATCAAAAATGTATTTCATCCACATTGCCTAAGATGGACTTGTTCCCCTCTCAAAATATTGTAAAAACTATTCTAATATATAGAGTGCAAGTGGTGTATGTGAAATAAGTTTGGATAGGTCTCAGTCTAGTGACTAATGGACAAGGGTTCACATCACAGATCCTCCACCCTGATTGTCGCTAATTGGTTCCCTTTGGCACAAGCCAAAGATTGAATGGGCCACGAAGACGGAACTCCCCCCTCTGTCCTGGGGGCATTTATGAGGCCGTAAGTCTGTAGGAGTTGGAAACTGTGTTGCTGGTACCTGTTACCTGCTCTGTGGATAAATAGGACAGTATCTCACTCACCTTGTCTCTCTAATATCCTGGGACCAACATGGCTATAACAAGACTGCATAGTCTCCAAGAGTGTCATTTTGACACCTTCCACAAGAGGAAGGTTGGCCTTGTAGTCGTGGCACTGGACTAAGATTCAGGAGATCTCGAGTCAGTTCCTGGCTCTGCCATAGATTTCCTGTGTAACTTTGAGAAAGCCGCTTAAAGAACGAACGCACAGAGAGATTATCTCCAATAAGAGTCTAATACTTCCTTTGTCTTGTCTAGTTAGATTGTAAGGTCTGGAGGGGAGGAAGTATTCCTTGTCTTATACAGCACTTAGAACAATAGCACCCCAACATTGGTTGGGGTCTCTAGGTAGAAATACATTTAAAAAAATGCTTTGCACCTTCCACCAGCTCTAAATTCACACTAAAAAAAGAAAAATATAATGGCCACCAATATAATGCTGATTTGGCTGCTCCAGTCTCTCTCCTAAGTGATGCTTTTTACACTCTTCATTTTTCTTATAGGCAAAATTCAAATAATTGAAGTCAGCCTGCCGGTGAAGATGTCGCTCTCTAAACGGGAATTGGATGAGCTGAAGCCATGGATCGAGAAGACAGTGAAGCGGGTCCTGGGTTTCTCAGAACCCACTGTGGTCACTGCAGCATTGAACTGTGTTGGGAAGGGAATGGACAAAAAGAAAGCAGCTGGTATGTCCTCGGCTTTTCATTACGACACTCACAACACCCATATCCATTGCTGTGTATTTAAGAGTATTAAAGATCCTTGACAAAAAAAGAGGGAGGTGTATGAAATAAGTGCTAAAAGCGACAACCTGTTGAATCTCTCAGGATTTCTATTTAGCAATACAATCCATTTTTCTGCGAAGTATTTCATATAAATTGTATCCTACCATGCCTTGGAGCTAAACAGTAGCAAAGCTGGGAAAGGAATAGAAGCATCACTCAGGAAAATGAAACTAACAATATAGACACTTTGTCTTGGTCTAGAAAGCAACCAAGTGAGGCTTTCAAATTTGTATCTGAAATAAATGAGTATTTGTTCCTGTGAGTAGCTGTGAGCTTTACAAATGGAATTGGAAGAGCTGCACTGCATTTGAAATGGTCTTTAAGTTAGCTTTAAATTTATCTTCCTTATTCTTGGGCACTTTTTCACCTGACTTTAGTGGTGCTAAACTGTATGTGGCAAATTGTTTCTTCATCACTAATTAAGGTTGTGACAGTGTTTCCATTAGATGGACCCCCTTTTCATGGATATGACACCCCTTTTGAGCTGAAAATGTCCTTGCTGATTCTTAACTCAGAGCCAATTTTTATGTACTTAATATTTCTAGACTTACTTCACAGGCTGTAAGTATGTAGTAATAGAAGCTTAGTTTGGACAGATTTTCTTGTACTCCCCTTTTCCTCATGGCAGCAAGTGGCATTGTCTAAGACACTTCCAAAACACTTAAAGGGTGTTACAGAAACTGACAAGACAGGAAATGCAGTTGAAAGACTCCATTGTTAAAGAAACTGAAGAAATTTGCTGTAGTCAGTGAAAGAGGCTTGCATGGAATCTCCAAACCCATAGGTCATGTATTCTAGATGTCAGGGGGAATGGCAATCTGTAAACTGAGAGGCTGAAGTATAATTTTTATCCACGTATTCCTGTCTCCAAAAGTGTTCATGGTCTAGTCACACACATTTATCTTCCTTGCCAGACCATCTGAAGCCTTTTCTTGATGATTCCACTCTGCGGTTTGTTGACAAGCTCTTTGAAGCTGTAGAGGAAGGACGAAGCTCCAGGCACTCAAAATCCAACAGTGACCGGAACCGAAAGAGAGAATTGAAGGTAAGCTAAGGACTGATTGTTGTATTGTTCGTTAAAGGCCATGAATGCAGTGCTGTTACTTTACCACATTCTCCTCTTCCAGAAAGGCACATCTTATAATGCTTAAAGTTCAAGAGAAAAGACCCTTCTTTACAATGAAGTGTGTGAGCCTTTACATTTCAGTTCTTTTTACTCTCTTCTGAGGTGCCATGAGGTACCAAAATACTTTCCCTGGCCATGTCCTGACTTGGAAACCTGAGCATCTGGTTTCTTTAACAATCCCCTAGTAGGTTTAATGGACTAGAACAGCTTAAATAGCAGGATTTTTGGCTCTCTGCTGTTTTTCTTATTCCTTTATCCCTCACTGCATTTTTGCCATACTGTTGAGTCTTCATTAACTAGGGGTTAGGAGTCTGGGTTAGTCGGTCACAGCTTATAGTAACTTTCCATTGCTCTTCCTTGCTCAGACGTGTCATCATAAAATCTAAACTGATGATTTCACAACTGTCAGTGAATGAATGTTGGTGGGTTACCTTGTAGATTTTCACTTTCTGTCCATGCGCTGAAGCTCATCTGGAACCCATAATATGCAACTTCTGGCAACCTTTTTTCCCCACCAAATTCAAGGTCCTGAAATACAGCAAGGATTTTCTAGTGTTCTGGTGGTTTTCCCATCTAACATTTGACTGGGATGGTGGAAAGTCTCATGCATCCACAGTTGTCTTTTACTTCTCCCCGCTATCTTGAAGATTTTGCTTTTGACCATGGAATTACAATTTTTTTTCATCATTTGCATACAGAATATAAAAATGGCTACTCGACAAGCTGTTCCCTGGTCTTAAAGTAAGTTTCCTTTCACTTTTTTCCTGAAGTTCCTATTTTATATTTCTCTTTTTGAAGTTTTGCATTGTATCAGTTCCTGATTCATCAGTTACCTAGTATATTCCCTTACAGGGCTGTCAGCTGTGCCTTTCCAGGTGTCTCTGGGAAAGTGCTTTGTACTACTCAATATTTTCTGTCTGAAACTGTTACTTTTCTCCTCTGCCTGGCTGAGGCTTTAAAATGTGCTAGAGAAGGGTCTACTTACCTTTCCTCTTCCAGGTTCCAGTTACATTCACTGGTTAAATAGTCATGCATAAAAAAGAGGCATTTATCCCCCAAACAGGTACAGCCTGGGTGGCAGCGGTGCAAGCTTCCCTGCCAATGTGCCTTAGTCTGATCTGGAGTGAGCCCCACCCCTCCCAGGGGAGAGAGTGGGGAAGTTCAATCTTCCATAGCTCGGGTCTGGTCTACACTACAGACTTATATTGGTATAATTATTGTTCTGGGGTGTGAAAAATCCACACCCCAAGCGATGTAGTTATACCAACTTAACTCCACGGGTGGACAGCGCTATGTCGGAAGGAGAGCTTCTCCCACCGACATAGCTACCTCCTCTCAGGGAGGTGGATTAACTATGCCGACAAGAGAGCTCTCTCCTGTCGGCGTAGAGTGTTTTCATTAAAGCGATGCAGTGCCTTAAGTGTCGATGTGCTCTCAGACATTGGCACCTCTACTGAAACTATCAAGAAGGGAGCCAACTAGTGTTACGTGCTGGCATCTTTGTGCTGTGGGCACATTTAATTAGGAACTAGATTGAAATTCACTAACTCATTTCACATAAGCCACCAAGCTGTCCTCAGATTGAAAGCCAGTAAGCCATCATATTTTGTCCCGGCCAGATCTCAAATCTCTTACCTCTGGTATATTGGGGAGACAGAGAAGAAACTGGAATATCTGAACTATGCCATGCAGCCACTTGACATCTCATTGTAAAGCAGATGGTTCTGCAGATGAATCCTTTAGCAGATGGATTACAGTCTACACTTTACGAGTGATGATTATCTTCTACTTCTGTAGCACTTCTGATGCAAATGGATCCCAAAGCTCTTCACAGTTACAAATCATTGATAAGACAATGCTTTACTCACCTGGAACATGCTTCCACATCATACAAGAATGCTACTTAGCATCAAATAGCAACACTGTACAACGTCATAGGACAGGAAGGAAAGACGGTTACACTCTGTTGAAACTCTATGGGGAATCTTATGGAGGTAGGTTAGATACCCAAGTTGGGCTTTGGACTGGGCACTGGGGCTAATGCCCCATCTCTAGTGAAAAGTGCTCTGGGATCTTGAATGACCAAAAGTGTTCCAGGCCCTCAGTTTTGTATCTGATCTGAAATTCAGCCCTCCTAGTAGCACAGCATGCCCAAACACACTGTGGTGGGGCACTGACTCAAGGAAAAGAGTGTCATCTACTGAACCACCAGCTCCTCTTCCTGGAGTTAACTTCCTTAGAAGTGTCACATCCAGACACTGATCTGCCCTGACCCTGCTTAGCAGGAGATCTACTGGAATTGCAGCCCAAGGTGGTATAACTAGGGTAACTTTTCCTTTCTGGCTTTTCCCTTGATATTAGCCCTGCTTTTACATATGCTCACAGAATTAGAATTGTAGTGGTGGACAGAGGAATGATAAAAACATTAGATAATACTCATGTTAGCTGTCTTTCAGCTTTCTGTCTGGCCCTCTTTCTCCTCTCTCCCTTGTACCATTTCATGGGGTAGATCACTGCTTGGGAAGTTTCAGGAACTAAAACGTAATGGTCTACACACTTTATACTATGGGCAAGTCCTTTCTCTTGAACTTGTAGGTATTCCAAGAAGTACCTGTGTCTGGCTGAGGAAGTGTCCTTGTAGAATATGAACCATAGTAGTGAAGAGGGGATTTCAACTAACGCTTACAACCGGTGTGTATATCTTCTTTTCAAATAACATTCACTTATAATACAGAATGTCTATTGTATGGTAGATTAAGGGCTTGTTTCCTCACACAAATGGCACCCATTTAACTAAATCAGTTTAGTTAAATCAGTGCAATCTCCTTGTAGAAACACTCTTAAATCAGGTTTCAGAGTGGTAGCCATGTTAGTCTGTATCAGCAAAAACAACGAGGAGTCCTTGTGGCACCTGAGAGACTAACAAATTTATTTGGGCATAAGCTTTTGTGGGCTAAAACCCACTTCATCAGATGCATGGAGTGAAAAATACAAGTAAGCAGAATATATATCATAGCACATGAAAAGGTGGGAGTTGCCTTACCAAGTGGGGGTCAGGGCTAACGAGCCAATTCAATTAAGGTGGAAGTGGCCTGTTCTCAACACTGAATACCAAGGGAGGGAAAATTACTCTTGTAGTGCTAACAAGGCCAATGCAATCAGGGTGGCCCATTTCAAACAGTTAACAAGAAGGTGTGAGTTTCAGCAGAGGGAAAATTACTTTTGTAATGACTCTTATATCAGTTTGAGATTTAGAAACCAATTTAGTTAAATCAGTTCAGTTTGTAGATCAGATCTATCTGTGGATAGGCGTGTGAGAGAACACACAGGCTTACTGGGAAGAACGATGGACCTAGGAACCCTTTAACCCATGCAGAAGGATGGTAGTGCCTTTCACACAAGGATCTGGGTGCTTTGCAAACAATAGTTAACCTCCACATCACCACCATTCATTTAGATGGATCTCACTTACCATTGTACAGGTGAGAAAACGAGACACAGATTGAATTTGTGCCTGATCCCACAGTGGGTAAACGGCAGGGCTGAGAATCCAACATCGGAGTTTTGGATTCAAGCCCTTTGCTGTGACCGCTTGACCAAAATGTTTTTCAAATTCTAAATTGCTGGACTCAAGTGGTGGTTGCTTGTCTTCATCAGTAGCCTTGAGTAGCTTAGCTTACGATCAATGATATAACAATCTCGTCTTGTTCCCGTTCTGTTAGGATGTGTTTGGGGATGACTCTGAGATCTCCAAGGAGTCTTCCGGCGTTAAGAAGCGGCGTATTCCACGTTTTGAGGAGGTAGAGGAGGAGCCGGAGGTTATCCCAGGCCCGCCTTCAGAGAGTCCTGGAATGCTGACCAAGCTACAGGTTTGTCTTATCAGGCTGCTCTCCTCCGCCACCTCCCAAGAAACACAGATCTTGGATCTTAACATCTTAATATTGAGTTTCAGTGTGAGGGAATAACAAAAGTTTCAGGTATCTTATACTTCATATCATGATTAGAAATTTGAATGTCAGGGCCTAGCATCCTTCTTTTGAAAACTAATGGCAAGTGCTTTCCACTGTGTCCTTTTCAGGGCTTGCTGCTACTATTGGCCAATTTCAATAGAAGTTCCCAAATTCACAAGCCTAATAGTCTTCTTTGCCATTTCTCGAAAACGGAGTGGCAGAGAGAGTGCCATGTTGATGCCTTGTGTTGCTAAAACTTGCTACTCATACAGAATCTACGTTTGATAAAATACTATGAAATGTTAATGAATACAACTAAACTATACTGTGAATAAAGGGAGAAAATACATTTGTTATGCAGTATCCTTCATTTGTTTGGAGAAGTGTTGACTTGCACTGAAATGTGTTCATGTGCAGTTATGTAGTATAAACTGTTCATTAGCTGAATGCCATCTGTATGATCTGGTACATTTCATTATTTTTTTTAATTATACGGGACCATAAATGTACATGGAGTTTTGCAGATTCAGAAAGCTTGGACTAAAGCTCTTAGTCTAAATTAGACTGACCAAACAGTTCAGACACATGAAGTAGTTTACCAGTAATGGCTTAATCTCAAAGCACTGCAGATTTTTAATTAGTGGATTAATGTCACTGAGTTTAGTGGAGGAGGTGTTCTAGAATTAGTGAGATTCTCCTGTATATCATCTTGAAACAGTGATTTCCACCAGGAAAAGGCAATTCCGTTCTTACCATTTGCGGTGTCAGTGAGCAGACTGAATTGATTAAGAACAGTCCAGGAAATCCATTTTGCAGGTCCTTTCACTTTTTTTTGGAACATGCAAAGCACGTGGTCACACTTGAATTCAGCCAAGAAAACAGAAAGAGAGGGTAAGACCCTCTTCACAAATGAAACAGGCAAACAAGGCTCCTTTTCTGTAGGGTGAGCTGAATTGGAAGGCACAGGTCATGGCCGTGGGCACTGACTACCCGGGGTTGCTGCTGCTGAATTGGAGGTCGTTGGTTAGAATTGTCCCGGTTGGTAGCTGGGTTTGCACTCATTTGCCACTATGTCAGGAGCCTCTGAAGAGTGCTTTAGCCCTTCTGACTTCTTGTGAGGAGGGGGAAGAAACCTAACTTTCCAACTTTTATTTCTGCAGATCAAACAGATGATGGAGGCAGCAACACGTCAGATTGAGGAGAGGAAAAAGCAACTGAGTTTCATCAGTCCTCCTGCACCCCAGGTACAGCCTGGAAAGCAAAAGGGCAGATCCTTTGTCACAGGATTCAAATGGATGCATTGCCTTTCTCCTCAAACCGTGACTTGCATGATTGTTCTGACATGTATCTAACCGTGTACGTCTCTCCCCAGCCAAAAACTCCCTCTTCATCCCAGCCAGAGCGTCTCCCCATCGGCAATACCATCCAGCCCTCGCAGGCAGCCACGTTCATGAATGATGCTATTGAGAAAGCCAGGAAAGCGGCTGAATTGCAGGCCCGAATCCAGGCTCAGCTGGCCTTGAAACCTGGGCTCATTGGCAATGCCAACATGGTGGGGTTGGCCAACCTGCATGCAATGGGAATCGCACCTCCGTGAGTACAATCAACTTGCCAAGTACACGGTACCCCTGGTAACTTCCTATAGGAACAAGAGAAATGTTAGGCGTGCATATTGTCAGCCTTCACCAAAATTCATGTGTATTGGCTTGGATTCATAAACTGGATAATGGGTGGCTCTGTGTCAATGATAGACGCACCCGAGAGTGATGTTGGACAGGCATTGCCCTTCTGGATGTTGTCTGTCTGCTGTTGTTCACCTCTACTGTAACACTTGTAGTTGTCCTTTGAATGTTCAGTGCATTTCAGGGTCAACTACGAGTAGTCTAAACTACATCAGATCCTTGTGGCCTTGTCTACACTAAGGGTTTTCTAGATTGCACAATGGTTAGAATGCAAGACCACTCTTCATCACCTTAACTATACTGGTCCTTGCATCATTGCAGCCATCAATGTAGCTAAACAAATGAGAGCAACAGTGGGAAATCTTACGGGGGGCAATGCCTCAGGGCTGACATGGTTACATTATGCCATTCTGGCAGCATAACATTTTCATTGTATAACATTTACACCCACTTTAGGACCCCTTTACGCTGCCAATGAGGTGGAAGGAGATCTTGATGTAAATGAGAATTGGACCCCTAGTGTAAGCATACCCATATCATTCATGGTGTATGAAACTCACCTCTGTTCCCCGAAGTATCAAGAAGAGAGAAGTGTTTAGATTATTGATGTTCTATGAGTGATCAAAATGTGGAAACCTCTGGGCTGATGCTTCAGTCAGACTTATAATAGTTGAAGTTGCTCTAGGCTCTGGATCATAATACTGGCACCTACTTTTTGATTACTGTTGCACTAAAATGGCTTCACATCTGTTTCCTTTATATGATATTGACTAACAAGGCTTAGCAAAAACCGCCAAAGAGCAGACCATGCTCTTTTCAAGACCTATTTGGTGGTGGTCACAATACACTCTCTATTTCCTCTGAGTTGAATGCTACATGACTGCATTTTAACAAAATGTTTCTTGCATCAGGAAAGTAGAGCTAAAGGACCAGACAAAGCCTACCCCATTGATCCTGGACGAACAAGGCCGAACTGTTGATGCGACTGGTAAAGAGATTGAGTTGACGCACCGTATGCCGACCCTAAAAGCAAACATCAGGGCTGTGAAGAGGGAGCAGTTTAAACAGCAGCTCAAAGAGAAACCTTCTGAAGACATGGAATCCAACACTTACTTTGACCCCCGGGTCTCCATAGCCTCATCTCAACGTCAGAAACGCACCTTTAAGTTCCATGACAAAGGCAAATTTGAAAAAATTGCACAGAGGTTACGAACAAAGGTATTGTCTAGTTTTTGAGTGCTGGTGTTAATGAACAGCACTAGAAGCAGGGGGTGGTATGGGAACTGAACTCTTGTCACATTCAAGAACGATGGAGGCTTCAGGACAAGAAAGATTTCCACTACAGATGGTTGAACATTTTCCATCAAAACTTTTTCAATGGAAAATTGGTTTACAGTTTTTGTGGAAAGTGTCTTTCTGTATACATTTTTGACTTTTTGTTGAAAACACAAAGAACTTAGTTCTCTTATGAAAAGCTGAAATTTTCCGTGGAAAAATATACTTTTTGACCTACTTTTAATAGAAACAAATGATTTGGGGGCTGAAAGAACTTAAAGGGAGAGAACTTGCCTACATTTTAACCATGTGCAAAACAATAAGTGTACGTAGCAGTAACTATTTAGTGCAGTTGTAAGGTATAATGAGGACTCTTGGAATGAAGAGCTGATTTAGGCTGGATATTGGGAAAACCCTTTCTGATACGGAGGTCTGTTACACCATGGAAGAGATTTCCTCCAAAGAAGTAGTGAAGCACTTTGAGATCTTCTGATGAAAAGTGCTATGTAAGAGCTAGGTAGTATTATTGCTAAGACATTTCCCAGTACGTTGCCCGGCCCAGTTTTAAAGTATCCTCTAGGAGAACAATTGTGTGTTAGGGTTGTGCAGTAATACTTGCATGGGGCAGATGTAACACCCACAAACCTCCACAAAACAACCCATTAGTCCCAGGCTCCATTCGGTGCATCCTCTGTGACATGCCCTGATCAGCTTGTAAAAGAATATATCCCGTGTGCTTTGCTTTTTAAAGGCTTCACTATTTCTGCGTGTGCCCATATAAGTGACCTGCTTGTGCCATCTCTCTCCTCTTGTTCTCAGGCTCAACTAGAAAAATTACAGGCAGAGATCTCTCAAGCTGCCAGAAAGACTGGGATCCACACCTCTACCAAACTAGCTCTTATTACCCCGAAAAAGGAGCTGAAAGAAGGGGAGATCCCTGAGATAGAGTGGTGGGATTCGTATATCATCCCTAATGGCTTTGACCTGTAAGCTATTATCTGCTGGGCTTTGATAATTTTATTGTAGAGAAGAAACTAATGGACTGGCTTTTGAGAATTGCTGACCAACCCCTGGTTCCATTGAAATTTTTTGGGAGCTGCTGGTAGCTGAAGTGCTCAGCGCTTCTGGAAATCAGGCCCTAAGCTTTTACTGCATCTTTTACAGAAGCAAGTGCATCCGCTTGAGTAACTGCATTCTGCTCCCCTGAATTCCCCGTGGGAGGTTCAGTTGTATTTTGTGTTCGCTCACTGCTCCAGTGTGTGGTGTGGTGCCAAACGGCTGCCATATTCCATTCCAGAGCTGTCTTATTCCAATGACTGAGAGAACCATTCCTGTGTGCAATCGATACAGCAGTTTGTTAGAGCGATTTTGGCTAAAAGCCATTGTGGGATTTTCAAAAGCAGCTAAATGACTTTGGAGCACAAGCCCCATTGACTGTCAGTTAAGAATTTTTGAAAGTTCTGCCTCTAATGTCTAAATGTAAGATCAATATTTAGAATATTTGGGGCAATGGGAGGGACTTTAATACTTATGTAGGACCCATGCATCTCCCTGCTTCCCCTGAACTCTTGGCTTTAGAGTACCTCTCAGCAACTTGTGTAAGTTTAATGGTTAGCATTGTGGTGGTTGTGTGTGTGGGAGCCAAATTGCTTTGTTCGCCAAATGCTGTGGCTTGTGGCACATTGAAGGAAGTGCGGGAAGCCCAGCCCTAAGATGACAAATAGTGATATACGAATTCTCTCCTCTTTAGAACAGCTGGAGTCTACTCTAAAAGAGACGACTACTTTGGGATCACAAACCTTGTGGAACACCCAGCACAGTTAAGCCCACCAGGTACTATTATGTAGCAGTCTAGTTCAAGGCCTCTTTGTAGTCTTGATCAATTCATGGTACACAGGAAGTTTTGTAGCAAGACCCTTCAAGTGCTCCAAATCACTGGCAGCATGAGACCTGAACCAGGCTAAGACTCTCCCCGTTTGTAATGCCACTGACTTCATTTCTCACCATGAAAGAAATCATGCTAAGATAGAAAGTAGAGCTCTGCTAGGGCGGTGAGACAGCTAAGACTAGGAAGGCGAGTTTGCAAAAAGCGTGGAGGCGATCACATTTAAGAGCATAGTGACCAACTGGATATTGGAAACTGGTAGACTCCCATGTGGTAGAGGGGATGGCTACTGCTACTTGGACATTATGGGTGTCTACACCGCAACTAAACACCTGTGTCAGCTGAGTCGGGCTTGGGCTGCAGGGCTGTCTAATTGCTGTATAGACGTTTGGGTTTGGGGTGGAGCCCGGGCCCGAGCCTGAACGTCTATGCCACAATTAAACAGCCTGAGCCCCGTGAGCCTGACTCAGCTGATGCAGGCCAGCCACAGGTGTTTAGGTGCAGTGTAGACATACCCCAAATTCCTTGTGTGATCCACATGGTAACACAGACCCAGACAAGGGACATAGGATAGTAAAGAAAGGTTTAGATGATTAGTGGTTAATCTGTTTAACATAAACCGTATTGTAATCTCTGTTTTCTGGTTCAGCATTGATATAAACAATCTGGAGTAACTCAAGGATCACAGATTGTAGCAGAAAGAAACTATGATCTAATATGGGATAGCAGAGAGGCATACATACATGCTCAGAAAGAGGGTGTTTGTAGGTTACAAGCGGACTGGAGGACAAAAATGGTGGTGTTGGGCTGCCTTAGCCTTAAGCATGAGGAATTGGTTATAATTGGTTAGACTGCAGCTATTTCCCTTTCCTTTCCCCAGTAATGATTGTAAACAGTATTTGGTCCTGCCCTTGTGGAACTGGGAAATGTAAAGTGACTGTTCATTGGTTTGCCTTCCTAGTGGACAGTGACACACCAGTGACTCTGGGCGTTTATCTAACTAAAAAAGAGCAGAAGAAGTTACGACGTCAGACGCGGAGAGAAGCACAGAAGGAACTGCAGGAGAAAGTCAGGCTGGGCCTAATGCCGCCTCCTGAACCAAAAGGTAGGTGACGACCTTGTGGAGAACAGGCTGTATGCAAAAAGCTGTATTAAAACATACACATCTCCAAATGGTGTCACATTGGCTAGTTAAAAACTCCGTTTTGGTAAATTGCAGCAAACAAAGGAGTTGTGCAAGAGAAATCCTATAGATCTACTCCGTTCATGAATTTACATTCATGCATGTATATTAATAGAACTAAGTCCAGAAAGGGCTGTTATGATCATCTGGTGTGACCTGCATAACAGGCCATAGAATTTCACTCAGTAATTCCTGCTTCAAGCCCCGTGTGCATAGGGCAGTATTCTGGGGTGACTTACACCCCATCCAACCCCACTGACTTCATTAGGGTTGCACAGAGGCAGAATGTGGTACAACAAATGTACATACTACATGGAATGCTCAGACGGAGGAACCGCTCTTTACTAAATTTCATGCATTGTTGCTGTGTCTTGTCAGTCAGTTGCCACACTGCACCTGGAAATACCTGCATTTCAGAGGCAAGTGATGTGTGTTTGTAGCTAGTAATTCGGTAAAGCATTTTGAGCCTGACAAAAGATGCTACAGAAGGCTGTTTTTAAATAATGCTTGGGAGCCTTTTGAAGCAAGCCTTAGAGAGGAGATCTGGTCTCACCTAGAAATTAACTTGTACCTTTCTTTCAGATGGTTTCCCCCAATGTTGTTTCACTCTTATAATCTTTGCACTCAGTTTTATTTAAAGTAAAACTTCTATTCTGAAGATCTTCTCATTTTTAAGCTTATATTTATAGGAAGTAACAGATGTCATAATTTGCGTCAAAAATGCAAAAGGCAAGTTGGTACTTGATAGATCCCTTTAAAATGTTCCTCTCTCTATTTCCCTTGCAGTAAGAATTTCTAACCTGATGCGAGTACTGGGGACAGAAGCTGTTCAGGACCCGACAAAAGTGGAAGCTCACGTTAGAGCACAGATGGCAAAGAGACAGAAGTAGGTTGCATGTTCTAGAATAAGAAAACTTTATTTTAAAGTAGATTTGGTGGTGGTGGTGGTGTCCTGACAGCCCTAGCGACTAAAGTCCTCTACTGAAGCATATATCAGATGCAGCAAAGGGAGAAGGAATGGCAAATTTTACTCAGATGATGACCCTACAACGTATTTCAACTTTGTCTTGAAACGCTCTCCTCTGAGAGCTAGAAGAGGGTTGAGTGTTCATGACCCATCCATTCTTGGCCCCTTGTCCTGAAACTGTCAGCAAGAGGCCCAATTGCAGTGGTGGCTTTTGAGTAGGGACAGCTATCTGCTGGGAACTGGACTGAGACCCTGACTCACTTCACAGACCCTCCAACAACTGCTTGTGGAGTAATGACTTTGAAGCATGGTCCTCCTCAGCCCACTACGTTCAGTAACTTACACTGAATAGCTTCCGGTTTAATACTAAGCAATTGACTGCTCCAGACAGCAACATCTCCACAGTAATGTTAGGTGGTGCATGCGCACATTCATCCTCGAGGGAAGTCATCTGGGAAATGCAAAGGTTTCACTGTAATAAAGGTGAACTGAGTAGGCTCTTAAAGAAACTAATCTAAAGCAAAGTACCTGAATTAAAAGTTCATATGTGCAGTCTGAAACTTCAAATAACCAGATGGCTGGATTTTTCAGGCTATGGTAATGATACAGGGCCTTATGTATCATCACCACTAGATCAAATGCAGCCTCTAGCAGTACTGACTGAAAGTTTGTACCATCTGATGGTGGGTTAGTGACCTATTTAAAATTAGTTGGTGGGTTTTGATCCAGTTCACACCACAAATTTCCACCATTACAGCTGGCACTAATTGCTCTCTTTCAGCAGAGGCCAAGGACTAAATGGATTGATCCCTCATCACTAGAGGCATTGAAAGCAAATCGGAGGGTCACATTGCAGGAAGCTTGCAGTGTCACTATTCATACTTGTTACAACCTGGTCCAGTTTCCCTCGGGATGGAAACCAGTCTTTTGTGATCTAACCCACTCACATGCTTCTAAGCCAGTCGGGTCTGGGCAGAGCCTGGTTCACTGTTCCTAACTCTGGGTCTACAAGGCACACTCCAAGGCTCACTCCCCTTCCAGTTTTCTGAACAGACAACCAACAAGCTGCATTTCTGCTTACCTGTTGTCTCTTTTCCTCCCACCCAGAGCTCATGAAGAGGCAAATGCTGCACGAAAACTAACAGCAGAACAGAGAAAAGCAAAGAAGGTTAAAAAACTTAAAGAAGATATTTCACAGGGAGTGCATATATCTGTGTACAGGTGAGTGCCTTCTCCCACAGACCCTAGAGGTGCTTTGTCTCAACAGATGTTTTTCTCATGTGACTTTTTATAAATACAGATGACAAACGCCTGTCTATAAATGTGTGCTAATATGGAGTGTTCCTTTAATGCAAGGCTATTGTCATCTGGCTCCCTGAACTCCATTAGAAACACTGAATGCTGTTCAAATTATTTTATGGTAGAGAGAAACGGCCCCACTTTCTCAAAAGTAAATAAATAAAAAGGTAACTCCATTCTTCACTCATTCTGTGCGAGCATTCAAGGTGAATGTAGAAAGTCTCTTATACTTTAGTGCTTCTATAGCGCTTTCCATCCAAGGATCACAAAGCACTTTATGACTTTTAATCCTAATGACAGGGAACCTGAGACACTGGGAGATGGAATGTCCAGTGTCACAAGCAAAGCTGGCAATAGAACCCAGGAGTCCTGACATCTGATAAAATGCCATTCAAAAGCCAGATGAAAGCTGCTCTTATGTAATATATGTAATAATGTATTCTAAACTAAGGATGGGACCCTGTTGTCCTAGGTGCTGTAAAAAGATAGATATTGTCCCTGCTCCACACTGAATAAAACTCTGTTGAGCATAAGGTTTTTTGTAAACCCCCACAGTGCCGGAGAGTTTAAAGTGAGAGTAAGTACTGGACTGAATTGGAGGAGAATAAGGGAACCTTCTTTCTCTGTTGTCCACTGTTCATAGTTCTGTAGTTCCTTTTCGAATAGATAAACCTTTGCTTTTCTATCCTCAGAGTCAGAAATCTGGGCAACCCAGCAAAAAAATTCAAAATTGAAGCAAATGCTGGGCAACTGTACTTAACAGGAGTGGTGGTTTTACACAAAGACGTCAACGTGGTGGTAGTAGAAGGAGGTAAGGCTCGGGGGGTGAACTTTCTGGTTAGAACATTAGACGTTCAAAAGCTTGTTTCTAACCAAGATACCCAATTGCCAATTACTGGGATTTATGGAAGTAAAGGAAGATATTAAGCTGCTCTACTCAGAATGCTGCTTAAATTTATTCCGCACCAGCCCTTGGGTAGTCAAGTATGTTAGCTACTTAAGTATTTTAAATAATCCTCTAAATATTTAAACTATAGCTTATATGTTTAGAAACCCAGCATTATTAAATCTGCTAGATTTGAAGTCACAATGCTTTGACAGTGACAGCTTCTCAGGAAAGACTCTGCCAGCCCTGGTTGAGTCTGCTACAATGCCTCCAATTTGCATGGTGCTTTATAAACATTCTCACAGCACGTTTCGTGAGATACTATCCCCATTTTACAGCAAGGGAAACTGAGATGGCACAGAGGTGAAGTGACTTGCCAAAGGCCACAGGAGAGTTCCTGTCTCCAAGCCCTGTGCTTAGGTTAGAGACTATACTCCTTTGTCATTGATCTACAGTATTCTCTTTGCCCAGGGCTTTTAGCTGGAACTGTGTGGGTGTTTGAGTGTTTAGTTTTTCCTCCATGGTTTCAGCTGTCATTAGCTTTCACTGCTTTTTGGAGGCAGAATGTAACCCTATTAGGACTCTTAAATTGAAGTTGTCAACGAGCAAGAACTGAGTGAAAATGATTATCATCTCTCTCTCTAGGCCCAAAAGCACAGAAGAAATTCAAACGTCTTATGCTCCATCGAATAAAGTGGGACGAGCAGACATCAAACACGAAGGGAGATGGTAAGCATAGACCCATGTGGATATATATGAAACGTGGCTAGTGTGACTGAATGGAAGTGGCAATAGGGTCATTTTGTTGCAACCTGGAAGAGAAGCCATTACTATGCAAATCCTTATGCAGAACATAATAGATCTGATCGTCTGAGTTGTAAATTTGAAGATCTCTGTAATGCTACTAAAGCAAACCAACACTGGGACTGTGATTTAGATGATAAAAAGCCAAGAACTTCAGTGCTGGCTTATGCTCCTTACTATTATTTACATCAGTTTTCCAGATTGCCTTCTGCTGTGTCAGCCTCTCCTATTCAGCTGTAAGTTTTCTGACACCCAGTAGAGCTTGAGCTGGCTTTGCATTTGCAAGACTCGAGGTTTGAAAAAACACAAACTCCAGTATTGGAAAGTGTGTGTACTGCTGAATGAAGCCCAGTCCTTGCAGACTGGGGAGGCAAATACTCCCAGGGAGGTGTATGTCTTAATTCTGTGAGGCACTCAGGGTGGTCCTCTAGATCCCAGTACAGGTATGTATCCCTGAGACAGGAAGTGAGAGCCCAGAGCCCAAATCACATAACCCTGGCTAATACTGGTACACAGACAGTGCTGGGAACCACTGCTCTATAAATGTAGTGCCCGTGTAAATGTCGTTGGCCAACAGTTTTCTTAAATGGGTCAGCTCTCCAGGGCAAGACCTGTGCCTTCATACGTGCTTTATGCATGCTCAGCCCAGTAGGGGAGCTGATCCTGATTGGATGACCCCCGGGTACTACTGTAACAGATATTTCGTAATTGTGTAGTGTGTAATGTGAGAGACCAGTCCGTGGCTCTGGGCCAGTGATACTCAGACTGAAGTTCAGGAGCCACAAGTGGCTCTTTAATGTGTGTCCTGCTGCTCTTTGCAGCACATGATATTAAAACACTGATTTAATTATTAACCAATCAGGATGCTTTTACTGTGTTGTTAACCAATTAAGTTATCAACTTGCACTAAGTTATTTTATTTGCTGTGGGAATAATTATATATATCAAAACTTATTATTTCCCCTGTCATACTGTTTAAATATGAATACATAGTACTATAGCCAGCTACTACTGTGGCTCTTTTAGGTAATGTTGGTTGCTAATTTGGCTCCTGAACCAGAGATCAGAGTATCACTGCTCTAGGCACACGATGGACCCTGAAATGGGAATAAAAATGTGATAGAGGGATGTACTCACTGCTGAATCTTCTGTGCAAGTAAGTTAGATCTTCCATAGTATTTGAATTCGATTTTGTACTTGAAATGTCAGATTATGAAGTCAGGTATCACATAACTACTAATAGCTATGGAGGACTCCCCCCTAAACACCAGTAGAGAAAGGTGAAGGGAAATCAGCAAACATTTGTGTGCATGCCCAAAATGAGGGAAATGTAAAAGTCTTAGTCTAAATAGCAGAAATGTAGTTTGGATTTAGAAGGGAGAAGTTCTCTGAATGGAATGAGAATAGAAGCATGGTCAGGACTGTCCCTGCTTAGAGCTCTGGGGTAGGAAAGACTTGTATTTTTAATGCTGGTGCTTTCTTAGCGACTGCCTGGAATTCCTTATTGGCTGTAGGTCTAAAATCTGCTTTATTTTTTTTCAGATGATGATGAATCTGATGAGGAGTCTGTTAAAAAGACAAACAAGTGCTCTCTGGTTTGGGAGGTAAGTTATTATCTTGATTTAATGGAGCATTTGGGGCCTTAAGCTCAAGTGCTTAATTTCTGGGTCACTTGGCTTTTCATTACTGCCAATATTAAAACATGTGTGCAAGCTGTAAAGCCTTGTTACTTGCTGCACACTTCTGTTTGCAAATGGTTATGCATAAAGCATTTCACTACCAACTTGATGGCACTTGATTTTTGTTTTGATTGAATTAGGTTGGCCCTGGGGTTTCAATATGAAATGTTCGGGGTTTATCTTTTTAAACCTCATTCAGATGGAGAAAACAATGTGGTGACTTTCTCTATCTAGTCCACACAGGAATATTTTTGCATTTGGAAGGGTATAATGCTGGGAAATGCAGAGGATGCATGATCCCTATTCAAATATCTAATCGCTATTCAAAGGAAGCGTCCAGGGCTAACTTATTGGCTGCTTTTTGCAATGCAGGAGAGCTGGGTTTCAGACTCTCTTGCTCTGGTGGAGGGAGGTAGTACACTCAGCCCTTGTGGTGGAGAAAGCAGTCAATGCTTTCTATGGCTAACTAGTGACAGGAACCGAGTTGGCAGCTTTCAAGAGGTGTCCTGGCCAGAAGTACAGTGGCTATATAGCTCCCTTGTGTTCCAAGTGACTTGAGGTTGGGGCCCGCACCCTTCAGTTTTCATGATCACATCCTTTGAGATGCTATATAAAAATATGGGCATCTCCACAGTCTTTGGAGATAATCTTGCATGGCATAATAAAGGACACTGGCTGTGCCAAACAAAGATGGACACAGACTGGAATAAAACATGTAACTTCAATTAAAGCCACTGAAGTGCTCTTAAACACTTCAGCTTGTTGCAGACTGTATCAAAGGAAAGACTTTTCCTGGCAGTTCATTTAAAAGAAAACGTTACTAAGTGACAGTGGAAATTGCCCTTATTTAAGCATGTTTCTACACAACTTTTCACCTCTGCACAAATAAAAATAGCACTAATTTAATTATGCAAATCATAGTTCCTCTCTGAACACTTGTTTAGAAACCTGAGAAATTACTTTTTCGATTGTAAAGAAGTTTATTCTTAATTCCTCTTGTAATTGTGGTTGCATTTGCTTGTTGATGCATTTGCTTGGTGGTTTTTCCTGCCAGCAAGATGCACCAGAAAACTCCTACTCTTTCTGTCTATTTCAGGGTACAGCGAAGGATCGCAGCTTTGGTGAAATGAAATTTAAGCAGTGCCCCACTGAAAACATGGCACGGGAGCACTTTAAAAAACACGGAGCTGAGCATTACTGGGACCTGGCTCTGAGCGAGTCCGTGTTGGAATCCACAGACTGAGGGTGCTGCTGCCCCCAGCGTTCCCATTGTTAATTTGAAAACAGTACCTGGCTGAAAACTTGGACAGAATTCCCTTCCTCCCCTCAGATCCCCACAGTACGTTGCATATGATTAAAGAAATATTTTTAAAACAACAATCACAGCTACACTGTTTTCTAGATAAACCCAACTCTTGGAGATTGTGGTGCAAAACCACTGGAAAGTGGTATCCGCCAGAGAATTCAGTTTTGAGGAGGTGGGAGGGGCAGAGAAAATTTTCAGTAGTCTCTTTAGTCCTTCACATACAGCTGTCTCAAATGGAGGTACAAACACTTCCTTGCTTTGTCAGCTGTTCCGTAGATGAGGTCTGACATTGGACAAACTATATGGTGCATACAATCAGAGATTGTTCCTTTGGTGGGCAGGGAGGCAGTTTGGGAGCAGCCCCGAATGGTCTGAGGATGCAGTATGGAGCATTTGAATTTGTAAAGCAGAGTAGGAGATGGGGACTTAGCCCACATCCTATATTTACATAATAAACTTTTTTAAAAGAAAGTCAAAGATGTGTTTCTTTACATGGGAGTGTCAATTAGTCTGCTGTTACTCAATGCAAACCACGTTCTTCTGTACTTGGCTCTTGCATCAATCTTGAACCATAGCTTGGGTATATTTGGAAGGATTGTTTGACAGTAGCCTCAGAATCAGGGGCCTACTCTGCTACAAACATGGAGGGAAGATGGTCCTTGCTCTCAGTTTTAAAATCTAAGAGAAGTAACAAAGTTTATGGGGAGAAGGATACAACCAAATACATGTTTTTATAGACCCTTGTAGTTCTCTAATGGTAAACAAAAGATGCCAGCTCAGCTAACCATCATTAATTGGCTGATCTCTTAAAGGCATAGCATAGGGTGGATCTTGAAGACGTACTTAATGAGGAAAATGGACTGGCCTTACAGATGAGTTGAGGGAGGATACTCCATACATAAGAAACAAAGTGGAGGAAGGGTCAAATTGTTTTGTTTTTGAAGCTGATGTGAGTAGCAGCAGTCGAGGCTGATGTTTGAAGAGACGAGCAGACAAGAATGAAGAGGTAGAGTTGTGAAGCTTGAACTTTAATATTTAGGAAAACGTGGAACTCTTGTAATATCCTGTGCAGCATTATAAATTGCAGCAGTGAGTATGATCAGCATGTGGAGCTGTAGTGCACATTGTACTATGGTTACTGAGGAAGTTTATTGTCTGTTATGTTGAGTGGGTTTCTTCAATTAACATTAGCATGAGCTTCTACAGCCAGAGCTGGTTTGTCTTGTATATCATACAAGTAACATCCCTCAAGGTATGACAAGCTTTGAACCTGCTTCTAAATTCATGGAAATGCTTTGGTGTCATCCCACTTATTTCAGTTGGATGCTTATTCCAGCTCCTGCAGAGATGAAAAGTAAATAGCAGTTGTCCAGTGTCCATTTAAAAAAAAAAAAAGTGGGAAAGGGTTCCTATAAGCAGATTTTGTTGTTTTCACTCATCCCTAATTAGGTTAACAGCTTTTAAACAGGTGGTTGCATCACAGGCCATATAGAATATTTTTCAAGGTTGGAACACTAGGTCTGATCCTGTCCTTTCATCTTTTGCAGACAACTACATCAGTGCAAAGTGGATGTCAAATGCTATCAGATCAGCGTGGTAGCCTTTTACACTCATTTCATAGTGGTGGGAATGACTGTGCAAGGTGCAGGACAATGGAGAATTAAACCGTGTTTTGTTATCTCTATGAATGCAGGATCTGTTTTAATCTGGTCCTATTGCTTCATTCCGTAGCTGGAGTCAAACTACTTCTGAGAATGTATTCAAGAGTCAGGACTTCAAGGGAGGAATAAGCAGCTCACCTAGTGTCTGGGGGCTGGGGTAGATGGTTGGAGATAGGTAGAAAATGCCATAATAAATGTTTGTTGCTAATCGGTATGGCCTGCCTAGTTGCGCTCCAGGTTTCTAGTAGGATTAGTCATTTTTTGGCTGTCTTTGGCACAACAGTGCTTCTGTTTATACTCTCAACTATTTATACTCTGATGTCAACACTACTTCCTGCTGTAGCTCATTCTAAACAATGAAAGGGACTTTGTATATTGGGTCCTGAATGTAGGAAAGACTCAATTGTATTACCATCTAATTCTAGATTTTCTTTAATTGTGCACTGACAAGTCTCAGAATAAGCCTGTTTTGCTCATAGAATATCAGGGTTGGAAGGCACCTCAGGAGGTCATCTAGTCTAACCCCCTGCTCAAAGGCAGGCAGATTTTTGCCCCAGATCCCTAAATGGCCCCTTCAAGGATTGAACTTGCAACCCTGGGTTTAGTAGGCCAATGCTCAAACCACTGAGCAGGAACAGGATCCAAGACATGAGTTTATGATGTGTCTACCACAGGAGCAAAATATTGTATGATGGGAACTAGGGGATGGCTGGTAAAGAGACAGCTTCCTGTAACTTGCCAAAAACCTGTGAGCTAAAGCCCGGGAACCCACCTCTCTTCCATCAGCCTGCCTTCTGCAGAAGCTGGTGCGAAGTACTACTTCCATGTTTATCTTGTTAGAGAGCTTTAAAATAAGCCTCTTCGTTGTAAAGAGACAATCTTATTCACATTTTTTAAAAACCAAATATTGTTTCTTGAGCCATCTTAATTTAATAACAATATCTTAACATGTAATTTTTTAACTGTTTGCTGCTTTTTTTTTTATTTTGGCTGAGGACAATACAGTATTAGAATCCTTTTCTCCTTCGGCTAAGGCTCAGCTACTTTGGTTGTAAATCACTTAATATTGTCTGTTAATTGATTGTTTGTTTTTAAAAATGTACTGTAATGAAGCAAGTGAGAGGGCTTATCTCTTGTAAGAAAAAAAATCAAGCTCTTACAAGTTTAGGTAATTACTCACTCCTGCTCCTTTAAAAGTGGTAATTGTTTCTCTGTCCATCCTCTTTTTTTCAAACTCTTCTATGGCAGGCTCTGCTTAATAAAACAGCCTGTTGCTCTCTTCCACAAACCACCTGGTGCAGGTTCTACCACTGGTGTGGAGTGCCTTTGAAAAATGGCACCAGTCCTGAATGAGCTGGGCCAGTCCTGTTGGTGATGCTGCTCTCTTTGGGCAGAAGAAGGGAGGGTGCCAGGTTTGCAGGCCAAAAAGGTGATGGGGAGAACCAAAGAGCATAAGCATTCTTCCATGACTGGGGCCAGCAGGGCCTGTGGCCATGTGCAAAGTACAACTCTAGTTAGTGCAGTGGGGGGAGTGCAAAGGCTGCTGGGAGAAAAACCATGAAGCTGGGAGGAAAGTGCAAAGGATGCTGGGACCATGGCCAATAGTGTAGGGGAAGCACAAAGGATACCAGGAGTGTGACTAAGGGGGGGAGGGGGGAGGAAGAACCACGGTAAATGCTGGTAGCATCAGCAAGGTGTGTGGGGGGGAGGAGCACAAAGGATGCTGGGAGCGTGGTCAAGGTGGGGGGGAGAGAAGC